CGTTAGCAGGAACAGAGGGATTTATCTTCATTTTGCAATGGGCAAAGAGATCCTAGAACCCAGAAAAGCCTAGAAGATTACTACAATAACTACCCTTAAGGTGAAGGTAAATAGCTCTGAGCAAGTGAAATTAAGCTAATATCTAGAGTTTGGTGAAAGTTACTTTGAAATATTGTATAAAAAATAGTCAGAAAAAAAAACAATCAAATAGAAAGTTAGAGATAAGCAAGGAGTAGGTAAATTATTTGGTAGATGTACAGTAGCTGTAGTAAGTTAGCATAAGATTAGCCTACAGTACAACTAGCCAACAGTTTTCTCAAAAGTTAAACATCTCAAAAAAAGTTGCAACCATGTATGAAATGACAAAGTAGGGCAAGAAAATGACTTATTTTTACTTTTATATTTATACCCAAACCTTGCTCAAAGTAGCTTTTCTTAGCATAGAATTAACCAGGCAAAAACGTAAACAACAATTAGCATATGTTAGCCTGGAATATGGTGGAAGATTATTTAAGTTACCCAGAACAATTAGAAATGTCCAGGTAGGCTTTTTGAGCACAGACAAAAAATATGAAAGTTAGACAAAAAAGCCTGTTATTATCTGAAGTCTAACCACCGCACCATAAGCTGTTAGCGTCTTAGCTGCAGAAGCACAGTGTTCATTTTTCAGGCTCGTTATTGTCCATATTTAAATGTATCCAACAGCAGCATTTGCACTGCCGTAGTGATGATGGGCCTTCTTCAAGGAGAAGTTAATGTTAAAATAATAAGTTGTTTTTGTAATAAAGGAAACCATTTACTCATCCCCGGCACATTATTTTTCCACGGCTTTGTGTTGTGGTGGTGTGTCGAGGCTGCAGACGGTGGAAGGTTATTGTCTGTGATTCCTCCAGTGCTGATTTTGTCTCAGTATGATTATTTGATTCTGCAGCAGTGAATCAAATTGCTGACATTTACTGCTGAGATTGGTCTTTTGCCGATGATTGCTGCTGTAACTCAACTCCAAATGTCTTCGTCCAGTTAGCCCGGTGGACAGAAAATGCACTGCAGGAGACTGTGACGGTGAAAAGTTAGGTGGTCTTCACATTTGTGTGCTATATTGGATTTTGCGAGGGGTTCTTCCCTTAGCCTTTTGTTATTGGATTCTAAAGGTCAGCTGTTTTGACTGGGTAATATGTCTCCTTCTCCTGCACTGACACTGTTGGTGGTGTAAACAGTTAATCAGAACCAAGTGTGTATCGATTCACTAGTAATTAAATGTCCCTGATATAAAAGCAGCCGACAGATTATTAAACTGGGCAGCAGAAGTATTTTTTAAGGATTCCTCTGTCTCTACATCCCTGCACCCATTCATTAGTCCATCCATCCCTCTCTCATTAATGACATTCCTTCGAGAATGCCTTAAAGCAAGAAACGTCCAACATAGAGGCAGAGTACGGCACATGAACAGGTTTCGCTTGGTCCTTACAATCACCTTCTACTGCTCTTACACTCTTCCTTTGCCATTTCAAGAACTGTATTCACACCTTAGCTCATTTACTATGTATTTTAGCATCAAGCTAATGTTTACCAATTTGTATGCATTTGTATTTTTAGCATCAAGCTAATGTTTACCAATTTTGGAAAGTTTTAGTTATCCAGGTGTACTGTAGGCATTCTTTTTGGGGTTGTGGGTTTTATGAAATTATCACTAAAGCATCTGTTATGAACAAATGTTCATTTGTAAAAATGCACAAATATGACACAAGAGGTAGATAGCTTTCTGGTTATGACATTATTAGGTTTAAAGACTCAAATACTCTGTTTTCATTAGATATTCCTTGTACTAAGAGATTTGCAGTACAGGGATCCGTTTTTCTTTATACTGCATATCAGCTGCATATCAATGAATCTGCACCCGGAAAAAAAAAAGGTTTCTGTCAGATTCTTGTTCATTTCAGTTGTCAGCGAACAGCCTGAACAGAATGACATCACACACATCAGTGGTTCGTGTGTGGATTTTTCTTGTGCTTTTGTGATGTGTCAGCTGCTCATTTAGATGCCTGTGCAGAAACCCCTGCAACTTCCTACATGTAACCACGCACGTGTTAGACCCAGACCTTCCTACATGTAACCACGCACGTGTTACTCCTCTCATAAAATAATTGGTGATGTGATTAAGAACTGTGCATCTTTAACATCTCTGTTTGCCAGTTAACCACCAGTGCTCTGTGTCTTACCCTCCCCAAGCTTTTCTTTTTTTTTTTTGATCAGATGGATGGTGTGTCGCCACTGGCAAGAAATTAAATCATTACTTTATCATGTTTATGCATGAGTATGATACAAAAAGGACAGGGAGCTTCTTGTAAAAGAAGTGCTCCATAATGGTTCTGCTGCTCTTACTGCTGTGTCCAATCAATATGCATGAAATATTTATTTGAAGGACAATTATTATATATAAATAGAATACATTTTATGTGTAACACAACACAAGAATATTTTGGACGTCGCAGCAAAAACAATAATGATAATGATAACATGAAGTGTTTAGTTGTACACAGCTCTTTTTTCAATTCCCTGTTTTCCGACAAAATGGCATTAAACTCACTGAACGCCTCTCCAGGGAGGAGCAGTGATATTTCAGACAAAATCATTTAACATTTCAAAAACCCAATTTAACTCATCAGACAGTCTTTGTGTCTGCTGTGGGGCCAGTGAGGGCAGCCAGTGTTGGTATGGTTTTAATTCTTCTATATGCAATTTGTTTGCCTTTCATCACCCACTTAAGCATCTGCCCACCCCTCAGTGCTGCTCTCTGCATTTGAAACTGCAGATGGATGAATGCAATTAGATGTAATATGCAAAAAAAAAAAAAAATGTCAACACGTTGCCCTCTGCAGTTTTAGTGCTCATTTACTGCCTGTCTCTTGTCTGCCTGAATGGTCTTGTCTCGGAACACGGACCATTGGGTTTCTCTCATTAAAGTCGAGTGGTGATGATTTGTTCTTGTGCCCATGTTAACATGGAACCCCTGCGTTTACTAAGTGTGCAAACATCAAGTCTGTGCCACTCCCCTACCGCCCCACCCCCCACATCTTCAATTTTGTTAGGGCTTTCAAGATTAGGAGATTTGTGATACTGTTTATAGCAAGTAGCTACCTGTGTCACCTGCAGGGGCTGCTAAAAACACCCTGTTGTCTTAGTTGAATATGTTGATCCACAGTAATTGTTTTTTTTAAATCTAACAAGATAGTGTGTTCACCCCTAGCCCCCGCCCCTCCCCTCCCCCCACCACTACCACAAATAACTCAAAATCATTGCTTCACATTTCATAGCGCCACTGATACCTGTGCTTTCCCTGGTGGCACGCAGGGAAATATGAATTCTGCTGGGATTTGTTGAGTTCCTAAATAGTGATGTTAGATATTTTTGCTTGGCTTCTGTCTGTGTGGATCGACTGTACGGTGTGGCTGAAAACCTGTCTTCCTGTGGTCAGCTGTACTGGGTGGTTGAACCTGGAGAGTCAAATATCTTTGGACGTAGTATGAGGTGTTTGCTGGTGTGGTTCAGTGGTAAATACAATGAAAGGCAGGAAGAGAACAAAACAACAGAGAAGTAGGAAGTGAAGTAGAACACATTGTATTTTGGGTGGAGGAAACAACAACGTTGCGAAACTGAAGTCATAAAACAGTCCAGCAGTTTGGTCCACTTTCAAAATTGCACTTTGAAACTGCAGTCCATCAAATGAAGAGGTAAAACCTTCAGCATGTTCTGCCTAAAAGTTCCTCACACTTTCTTGGTGTGAAAATGCTTAAAGAGTATATGTCGTACCAAAAGTAGAGTTTTTTTCTGGTCCGACCTTATTCTAAGCTTTCATTAACCTCTCGCTTCTTCTTCTACTGTATTCCTTATTGGTCTTTCTACGTGGAGTTTGCAAAATCTGGGAAAAGTCAAATTTGATTGAATGGTTTTTAGCAGGCAGAGAAACAAAAGACAGGGACACAGAGTGAGAGGAAGTGATGCGTAGGCCTGCCGTCTTCTGTAGCTTCCTCCTCCTTGGGGAGCCAGTTAAACACACACATCTGAGCCATGCTTTTCAGGCAGCCGTGCTCGGAGGAGGAGGCAGCCAGTGGGTTGTTTCAAACTATCATCTGGGAGCAGTCATTTTGTTCACCGACAGCACACAAGCTGCCAGAGTTTGGAGTCATGGCTCTAATGGAAGGGTTGTTAAATTTTATACCGCCACGGGCTTTGTCAAGGTCAATTCTATTGGTTCAGAAGCAAACATTCAGTAGGCAGGACATGACATGGTAGTAGTTAGTTTGACTAACACTGGACTTTCTCAATAGCTGTTAGCCTGTTAGCCTGAAACTGAATTTCTCTTACTTAGACATCTAGAAGGCAAGGTTGAAAGCTGACTTGCTCCTGTGTCTTTACACTGAAGAAGTCTGTTGGTAGTCTGTGCACGGTGACAGTACCACGAGTACTTCTCTGCACCACCGTATTCAGTAGCTCCCATTTCACACAGGGAAGAAGGCTAATATCCAAAATGTAGTATACTGGCAGGCACACTATAAGTATAAATATATATGTATGTATATATGGAGACAGTGCACCTTACATTACACTGGACAGGCTAATATCCAAAATGTAGTATATATGTATGTATATATGGAGACAGTATATAAAATTGATATCTTTAACTGTATACATGCAGTTTAGTCATGTTAAAATAAACTTACGTTGTATTGTTTTCAGAGGATAGAGCTGATAAAGAGCTAATAAATCCAAAGTTTGTTCGTTGCTTAAACTTTCAGGTGAAACATAATTGTTAATATTTCTCCTGCACCAAATCATGTTTGCTCCATCACAGCTGCCTGACTGAAATACTGATGAACAAACAAAACACTGAAAATGAATAGTATCTGAATACAATCAGATTGAAAGATAAATATATCTGGATGTTGAAATGTTCTTGAATGTGCCTTTGTTAATGATGTTTTCTTTATTTTGTTCTGCAGGTAAATATGTGTACCAGCCCATGACCAATGTATGCCATCTCCCAAGCACAGCGGTGCCCCCTGCTGGCTCAGAGTACAGTAATTCCATCAATCTGTCCGTCTCACTGGCTGAGCGCTTCCTGAAACTGGCACCGTCCTTCCAGTCCCCTCCTCCGTTGGAGTCGCCCAAGTACTGCGTGATCGCGGACCTGTTTGTGGACGACTACATCGTTAAACGCATCAGTGGGAAAATGTGCTACGTGCAGCGGCCACCTCCTCCCATACCAGAACCTCCTCATCCTCCCACACCTCCACCACCTGCTCCAGCCCTCCAGTCTCAGAAGCCTCAAAACCCTGCTCCACCCCGACAGACGATCAAGCCTACGCCGTCGACCAAGCAAACGCCCCCACCTGGCCGTGTGCAGTCAGTGAAGCAGGTAAACAGTGAACACAAACACCAATCCCCTGTGGACAAGATCAAAGGCCCCAAAATGGACCACTGCTCCTCTCCGTCCAGCTCAGAAGACTCTGGTATCAACGCCCTGGGTCTGCACTACTTGGAGTCCTGCGAGGAGGAGGAAAGTGAGGAGGAGGAGGACGGACTGAGCACAGATGGAAACTCCAGCCCTAGCAGCCTCTGGGATCAAGATGACTGCTCCGTGCTGTCTCCTTCCAAGTCCATGATAGAGATCATTGAAAAGATCGAAACAACTGTGTAACTGTCGTGACGTCCACACGGACACCAGATGTCCAGAAGTTTGATATTCACGGACCAGTAGAAAACAAAGCATGTCCCTAATGCTGCAGCAGGACAGTGAGGTTCTGATTTCAATTTACTTTTCTTCCAGCAGGCGGCTGAGGACTGTACGTCCACTCTCTCTCACAGCCTCTGCTCCGTCCACGTCCCCTGCATGGAGTGACTTTTTACAACCTATTACAGTGACGCAGAGTATATAGAGCACACTCATACTGTATCAAGCACACGCACAGTGGCCCAGATGGACTTTTTCCTACATAATTACACAGTGAAAATCTGAAAAAAAAAAAAAAAACGAATCTGAAGAAGACCCAGATTAGGCCTGTCATCATAACGTCTCCACCTGAACAACACGTTGTCCTTGGATGGACAAAACTCTGGATTAGCTTGTGGAAATTTCTGAAAACGTTTGCATAAGTAGAGAAGTGTGTGTGTGTGTGCGAGTGATATGGAGACACTGTCATGTGTACAATGCCATGATGAGCCACATACAACTTTTTCATGTCCAATACCGATACCAATCCGATACTTTCTTTTCTTGTCCAGTATGTCGCCGGCTGCTGCTAAGGCGATGGTGTCCCTGTTTACTCCGTGTCACACAAAGTTAAGATGACCATTTGGGCTGAGGTGTCAGATCGGACGGCTGTAGTTGGTTTCTTGAGGTTCAAGCCTGAGTATCGGATTGAGCAACCCCTTGTTTGGAACCATCCTTGGTTTTGCTCTTTGTGGGTAACACTGTAGGTCATGGTAGGTAGGTTAGGTTGTGGACTTCCAAAGTGCGACTTTACAGTTGAAACAAAACTACAACAGAGTAGCGTACTGGTGTGATTAGCTTGTCCCCCAGTCCATGGTTGGGTTGGACCAGGAAGTACAGAATTGTGCTAGGGATCTGTTGACACCACGTAGTAACGACCGCTACGACTGGACACTGACACAGCCATTGTGACGGGCCTAATGGAAATTACTTTAGATTGAAAGTGAAAAAAGGTCAGAAAAGTTCTTACTTTTCTGACGCTAAATGTGTGCAGAGGAGTTGTGGGCAGGTTTTCAGATAATTACAGGGAAGCAGTTAATGTTAGGGCTGTGGCAGTCAGACCTTATTCTACTTCAACATTCAAGTAGCAGATACGTTTGTCCTCCGGTCAGTGCCTCCACCCACCCACACACACATTAGTAATTCTGACACTTTAGTATAATCACCACAAGGCCAGCTACCTCTCCTGGGCCCAGAGCACTTCAGCCTTTTTAACTCCTTAATTCCTGAACCCTGAGCTTCTGTGACAATTCTGCAGTTATCATGTAATTTAAAAAAAAAAAAAGTGTGTGTGCCTGCACTTTAGTGACAACAACGTGAGGAGTTGTTAAGTAGGACAACGTTCGACAATCACAGATCACACAAGCACATTCCTAAAAATGACAGTACCTGCGAGGTACCAGCGAGGACCAAGGACACACACTGACAAACACAGACACACACTGAACTGAACTGAACTGAGTTGCTGTCCAGTGTTTAATGGGTCGTTCAGAAAAACCTTTTTATTGACCTCCATTAGCCGTCAACAGATTAATTAGTGTGAACATATCTCTGGCACAGCTACAATAACAACACAAAGAGACTAATACAGCACTCACAGTGAGGAGGTAATATATAGCTAATATATACATATGGGCTTTCTTTTACATTAATGTTCTTATTTTCTTTCTGTCTGAGCGGTAAATGATAAAGACGTTAAGAAGATTCTGCGCTAGCTTAGACTTATCTCAGTTCATACTTGTACATTGGCTGAGAGAAAGGACCTCTCTGGGTGATTCCAACCTTGATCTGTGTTGTTAGAGGTCTAGAAGTACTGTGAGGGAGTACTGTCGTTATCAATCAGTAGTTGGCGCTATCGTCCTGCTGGCTGTGAACAAGACCCAAATGTTACAAAACCCTGTGTTTTGCTCAAAATATCATTCCTCTAACAGTGCAACATGAACTGCTTGTGTAAAAAGTAAACAGACGTTCTTATATCACACTTTTGTTTATTCTACCACAGTGTTTCTCATTAATTGCCGAGAATGTGGCGGACGTATAGGTGGCGCTGCAGTGTCAGGAGCTTTCCTGGCTGCATCTGGCGCGATCTGATGATAGCAGTGGCGCCAGTGCAGAGTGTTGGGTAACAGTGCAATGTATGTTGCAGATCACTGCACCTGTCAATTTCTTACATATCTGTAAACCAAGCATTAACTGAGCATCATGTTGCATTATACTTGTAATGATATTTTAACATGTTCTTAGTTGCCAACTTGCCTGTTGGATTTCTTATACAGTAAACAACAGGACGGCAGGCAGTGTCTGATGAAATGTCCTCTTAGTTTCTCTCAACAGTACTCGACGTCTAACAACAGAATTATATATTGTAAAGGTCCGGAACTTTATCACAAATTTGAGAAAAAGATAGCACTTGGTATGGAATAGGATCCTATGTAGGTGTTTTGATGTTGTGATGGATATAATGTTATACACTCAGATATGACGTTAGTAAGGTAGCCCATGATTAGTGAGGCTTGTTTTCTTTTTTTAACCCCATTATTAATCAGCTTTTATAGAGTTCTTTCCTGCAGATCTATTATCTAGTTCAAGTTAGCACTTCACAGATATGTATTGCTACAATGCTACAAGCACTTGATGTTTAAAGAAAATGGCATTTTGCATGACTGCAGTTGTTGCAAAAGTCCCTCCATTTCCAAACTTCGGTCTAAGAACTTTATGATTCTGTGTTTAAACAGCGTAGAGCTTCAGTCCGTTCAAATTCAACAAAAATGTTTGTTATTCAGGGACATCAGATGACATCATACTGAATGCAGTCTCCCTAAATGCAGTTAATTATGTCTTATTGTTACATTATTTTCATATGAATAAATCCTTCTGAAAGTATTTTCTCTCTTGGTTTGAAATGTTTGGATCGTTTCTTTTATGTGAAAGTTTAACTTGTTCTTGAAACGAGAGCAAACGTCCTCCGGCTGAGTCAGTGATGACTAATACTCCGCAGAGGTTTGAGATGAGACACACACTGAAATGGAGTCATTACTGTGGCCGTTGTTGTTTGTTGTTTCTGAAATTGTCTTGAACAAAGTCCTTTATGTTTATTACTCAATCTGAGCTTTGGTTTTTATTTTTTTGCCCGTCCTAGGTTTTTTTTTCTCTCTCAGAAATACCATGAGGGAATCCTTTCTAATCCAGAGAATTGTCTGTGTTGTTTGCATTGTCACAGTAAGTTTGAAAATTGTATTTTAGCCTCCTGGAATTTTTTTTTTTTCAAGTATTTTGTGGGGGAAAAAAAGTCTGATGCCTGAAACCCTCCGCAGAGGCACAGTGGTTTGTTTATGTCCACCCCTCGGTAACCTTTTCTGAAAAAGTGAAGTGTTTTGACAACATGAAGGTGAAAAGTTAAAAGTGTAGAAGTAATGTATCAGTACAAGTGGAGGTTGTTGTGCTTCTAAACCTTGTGGTCTAACTTAATCCTTTCTCTTTTCTCTCTGTGTCACTGTCCACAAACATTCTTCTCCTCTCCGTCTGTATCTGCTAAGGACAAAAGATCAGGTGGACGCTTCTCTCACCACGACATCCAGGCCTGATTGATTTCTGCTTCTTCCCTCCTGCGTGGAGCCCATCGATTTGTTGTTCTCTGACAGTGCAAAGACAGAGAGGAAGAGAAGGTTGGAATGAGATACTAATCAGTTTATATGAAAGTACATCATCCATTCTGCTCATTGTTGAAGAAGTGTGCAGCCGACTGGTGGGAGAGGGAGGCAGTTGATGAGAAAAGTGTGGAGGAAACACAGACACAGAGGCAGAAAAAAAAGGAACGGAACTGAAAAAATGATGATGCAAGCTGGTGTAAAATCCTCGACTGGACTGGGTGCAAGAGTGTGTGTGTGTGTGTGTTCTTGGTGTAGATGTACTTGTGGGGTCATGGGGTTTTGGGGACATTTTGCAGGTCCACACGTTTTTGGAGTTTGGATTAGAATTAGGGTCAGATTAGAACCAGAGTAGGAAATAGGATCAGGAGCTAGGTCTGGATTATGTGTCACAAAAAAAAAGAAGAAACAGTTGTGTGTGTGTGTAAAGATTTTTTGGCATTAGATTCAGACAGTTCCTGAAGAGTCAAATAACAAATCAATTCTGCAAAGTCATTCAGCTGGCTGGTGGACTTAGTTTTCACACACACAAAAAAATCTCCTTTGTTTTATAGACTGCTTCACAGGCTGCTCCAGCACAGCAAGTTTCTCCATCCAAACTCTAGTTAATACCTGGATAAAACCCGGCTCCTGTAGGTGAGTTTAACAGCAGAATTAAAATGTAAAAAAACAACAACATTTAGACTGTTTTGAAGTGTAGCACCTGTCTGAATAGAAATCTCACTAAATCTCTCGCTCTTGTTTTTGTGTATATTTTGAAAGTAGATCGTCACCGCACTGCCGTTTGTCAGTTTGTCACCTCCTCCTATTCAGGTAAACAGTCTTTTCTCTCCCTTCTCCATTAGGCAGCACGCTGCACATAATCATTATGTAAGTGCCATAAGCCAAAGACAGTGATTTGTGACTACTGTGGTAATGGTGTTCTGGGAAAATTCCACTAATTAGAACTTTTTATAAAACCAACAAAAGAGCATAAAAAATTAGCATATACTTGTAAAAGATATACTATACACACACACACACACACACACACACACATATATATATATACAGTATATATATACTTTATTTAGAGTTAATTGCAAAGTGTTTCATACATCGTGCATCATATTTTTCTTGTCAATTCATGAGCAACCTGCAAAATAATACAAAAATAATTCTACTAAAAATAACAAAGTAGTACCACTAGTTACTGCAAATAGGCAACTATTTTGAAGTAATATGAATTTGTAACATGAAATTCAATTTCTGTAAAGACTGTCGTTAATTTCTTCTTTTTTATTTCAGATTATCTCTGGTGGGTCACTTCTGGTCCACTGGCCCTATGTTTGACACCACTGCTCCAGGCTGGAGGAGATTTATGGAGTCGTAATTTTAAATGCACAAAAACTCAACCGGAAAAGGTAAATATTCAGTATTTCATTCAAATTGTGCTTCTTTTTTTTTTTTAACTTTAAGGCCAAGTGAGAGAGAACGGTTTCTTCTTCTTTACTGAAACTTCAAATGTCCGGGGAATATTTTTAATGGGAAAACTTGAAAGCGTAAGAGTTCGTGTAGTTCATAATTTTACAGCCGACATCAAAGAAAATCCATATCAGCTCTCCACAGAGAAGCGCGGCGCTACATTACCAGGTATCGCCTTCTCTCCACTCTAAATTAACATCAGCTGCAGCAGCACTCACCTTCAAATGAACATTTGAATAGGGGATTTACAGCGGCTCTGTCTAAACAATCAGAAACAGGGCTTTTCATTGGCCGTCCTTGGACCGCTGATAGGTTTCTGATAAACCGTGAAAGAGTGAGACCGTCACCTGGAGTGCAGCCCTCGACTGACTTCCCTTAGAAATATTCATGATGTTCCTTTTTTCAGTCAGTGTCATCTTTCATCTTTTCCCAGGCTTCAGTGGGAGGTTTATTTTTCTTAACTTTAGCCTGAGTTGTTGTTGTTTTTGCAATGGTTTGATGACTCACCAGTTAATGAATCATTTTGTTTTAGTTCAAATTGGTTGGTGATGATGTTGCTAGTTAAAATATTAGTATTAAAATGGACAAATAAAACTTAGATTTTTTTAAAAACAAAGCTACATTTAACACCTTTAATGAACGGAAGGTTTCTGTTGAAAACCATAAATGAAATGAAATTATATATTTATTTTTCCATTCATTTATTTTGTTTTTACCAGATAATTTAAGACTTTTTTTTTTCTTATTAACTTTCCAGGGATTGAGTGCAGCTATTATCAGAACAGAAGAGGGTTCTGTGCACTCAGTAAACCTAAATCTAAATCATATCAGAGAGTTGAAGGATAGTAAACGTCCAAATCGATCTAAATCATATCAGAGAGTTGAAGGATGTCAGGGAGGCTCGGCATCTTCTGCGTCTGCTTTTCTGTCGAGTGATTCTCGTCTTTGTCTTTGAGAAACCGGACGAACAAAATTATAATTTGTGGCCAATCTGGGATTTTTCCGTTGGATAAATGTTCTTGTCATTTACAATCTGAATCTTTGTAGAGTTATGTCAGACGGTGAGACTTGTGGAAGTGGAGTTGAAAGTTGAAGCTCTTTGTTCTGGTGTAGATCCTAGTTCCTCTCCTCTTCTCTACTTTACAGACCTGGGTCTTTATCGTCTCCAATCCCCTGATCATTCTCAACGCACACAGTTGAACAAGAAAATCCAGACAAAAGATTTAAACCTGGCTGATGTTCACGGGATCAAAATCTTTTAGCCACCTTCTAAAACACTTATGTCACAAACACAAAATGTTGCTCCATGTTTTAATCTCAATGTTTCGTTGTAGCATTGTCAGTCAATGTTATTACTGTTTGGCCCTCAGCTCAGAATGTGTTTTAAGTTTTAGCGTCTGACACGGTTGACTTTGACACCCTGCTCTTTTGCCGACCTTGTGTACCAAGTCTTAGGAGTCAACTGTGATCTGAAGCTCATGGAAACTTCAGAGGCTGCACTGATGCAAAGTTCCTAAAATATCCTGGTGTTTCGTTTTCCACCCAGCAGCACAGGGTAATTGCTTGTTTTACAGGTGATTGGTGCTGTTATTTCAATCACAGCTCCGTGAGGCTATTCCAGGCTTTCTGTTTTTGCTCTCTCTCTCTCTCTCTCTCTCTCTCTCTCACTCACTCTCTCTTTAAAGTGACAGTACGCCCACGCCAACCTTTGAAATGCATCAAAACACAGGACTTTAGCTGTATATCAAGTGTGGACGAGAAGAAGGAGCGCTTTCGCTCGAGTTGTGCCCTCGGTAACACAATGTGGTGATAGGCGCGGTACAATCTGTCCGTGGAGAAAAAAAAAAAAAAAGAAACACAAAACAACAGTCGATTACGCTCAACAACACACTCGGCTGTCAACAAACAATGGCCCAATGGAACAATGGAACGGCACCAGGCAGCAGCTCCAAATGACAGGACTATTAATGGCAGTGGAAACCAGGGAGAATAACACTATCAGCTCCACTGTGTGAAATCAGGCTAACTATTTTGGTAACAAAGGGCGTTTGCAGTGAGCATGTGTGTGCGTGTGTGTGTGTGCGTGTGTGTTAGACAGGTAGGAGTGTGTCCGGCAGACACATCAGTGTGTACCTGGACCTGCTGACTGAGGACCAGCAGATGTGGGTTTTTTTCTTCACCTTGGGGTCATTTTCTGCTCTGCTTTGCTGTTCTTGTTTCACACTCCCCACTACCCCCCTCCCCCCCCACTACTATTACCATTTAAATAACAGCTGAGCCCCTTTTTCTCCTGGTGATGATTGGCTGCGTTGGTAGTATTTTCTTTATTGTTGTAGGATTATGTGTGTGTGTGTGTGTGTGGGGGGGGGGGTGATGGGTACTTGAGTTAGGCTTTGAATTTGGGATTGCCTCATGTCGAAGAGAATTAAACCGTTTTTATGAGAAGCAGAGGCTCTGATGAAAGAGTGAGCTGCTCCCTGAAGGACACTGATCCTGGGTTGTTGTTGTTGTTGTTGTTGTTGTTGTTGTTTTCCAGCAGAGTGTGATATACTGTGGAGTGAAGGTCTTGAGTGGCCTCTGTTTCTGATTGGCTCAGAAAATGTGTCAATAGAAGATTGAAACGAGTTGATAAACACTGACTCAGACCATTGCTGAAGTGTAGACGGTTGAACTGTGGGACATTTGAGTCTTTTTTTTTGCCGTTCATATTATCTCTTTATATATTTATTTTCATCAAAAGTCAGTTGTTTAATTTTGAACAGACCCATGCTGCTGCAGAGCTATTTCAGAATATTTGTAAGATACAAATATATTGGGTGTTTTTAGTGTAGCATTTAAAACGGAGCAGTCGTATGAGCACACATTTGTCCTTTTTCCTTTACATGCAGACGTTTTCAGTCTTTTATTGAAGTGACAGAAACAGTAACTCTGCTGTAGAGACATTTTCTACCAGGCAGCCAAATCAATTTTTTAAAAATGATTTATTTAAACAATTAGTTTTATACAAACACCACAGGCATGGCAGTGCAGTACCTTTGGCAGTCAGCCTGCAAACATCTTAAACACATTATTGTTCTGCGTGCAGCTATTTTTAACTCCATCCTGTTCGATTGTGCTAGTTTGTCCGTTGTCTTTATGTTCTCCTCCACTCACGCCTCTCTCTCTGTCTTTGTGTTCATTTCTGTGCAGCACATAGTGGCTGGTGTGAGCACTGATACGCAGCACATTCAATTAATTGCTAAGTACTGTGCTAAAGTGTTCTGGGGTTTTTTTTATACTCTTTGTTTACTCTGGGCGGACAAAAACAGCAACAGACTTTCAGCTACTGACGTAAAGAGCAAAGAGAGGAAGAGATTAGATTTTTTTTTTTAACTTTTAGTCTCGTAAGTGTTTTTGTTTTACTTTTCAGTAACTTTTTTTATTTCTCCTTTTATTATTATTTGCAACAAATCGTAAGACTTGGAATTGTGGAATAGAAGTAAACCACCAGTAAATTTAAATCTTTGACTCAGGCACTGATTCTCATCAATATGGAAGTAAAATGAATGAACTCACCTCCCTGTCAAACACTTTTCCTGTTGTTATACAACTACTACTGCTAATAATAATAATAATGATGCAGATAATAGAACATTTACATGTACTTCTAATTTAGTATGTTATGGTAAATATACAATGTGAATTCACATTTATATGTACAGTTATATGGAATTACCTTGGAGCCATAGCCTGGACCCAGGGCTGCATTTCATGCTGGTCATGGTTGCTATGAAACTACAGGTATACCTCACCTGAGTTAACCTCCACCGCCAGCTTACAATGTTTTTCAGGCAACACATACAGTACATACCCACACACACACAAATGGACATAGCTAAATATTTTAAGGCAAATTAATGCATTTTTAGTCATTTTTTGAGAAACTTTTATTTTTGATGACTTTTCAGGAAATTATTAGTACAGGACTTTACTGTGATCAAAAGACCAATAAACCAGACGAGGCATGAACTACAAAGTACAAACTAGGAACTCGGAGCACAGACCGACCACACACACACACACACACACACACGAAAACACCTCCTCAGTTACGGCAAATGCACAGAACCCTTGAGAGGAACAATGGACCAAGGGCTGTCCATAACTGGTAGACACTGGAGCATAACTTTTGCTCAGTAAGTGCCTCTGTCCTTCACTGGCCCAAGCTTCCTGTGGCTGCACTGAAATATTTAAGACACAGCACTCATCTGTGAGGCAGCCCTGCAGACTGTCCTCTTTGTCCCAGGAGCCCAAGAAGAAGCCAAGGAATAGCTATAGCAGTGCTGTCTGAAATGACAAACAGTCGGTGCAGTGTTCTTCACACAGCATGGATGAGGAATATATATATATATGGCAAATTGAATTAAGGATAATCTGAGAGGTGGTGGGGAGGCACAGTGGACGTCTGATTGATTTCAGTCACAGCTGAGTCCATCTGAGCACAGCTCTGTCCTCATATCAACTCCATAGCTTCCTGTCTGTCATCACTAAACCACTATATCTTATATCCACTCTGCCCTCTGTGGAGACTGCCTGCTCAACATTTTTCGAACCTGCAGGCATGACCAATCAACCCTGAGAAGAATGATGGATGACCACAAAGTCTATCCCAACCATTCCCAAAGCTTCATATATCCATCTGTTATCCTGTGAATTCATTTGTGCAGAACCTCAAGGTTTGCCCTTTTCCCCCCGTTGCTCCCATAGTGACTAGTAGAGAACCAACAATGTTTAATTTTTTTCAAAGGGCAACATTTAAAAAAAAAAAAAAATCAAACATTCATACCCGCTGTTTCAAATGTCCATTCACTGTGCACAGATATCATCTGTAATTAGCATGTGGCCATTGACCCTGAGTGTAAGATGGATGTAGATATTTGGATTTAGAGAGATTTAGATAATTTTGGTCTCAAAAACTGGATCTATGACATTTCACATTGTTATTTTTTTACTAAAAAGACAACACATGAGCATAACAGAAAATTAAATTTGAGTTTAACATTCAACATTATTTTAGGAAGTCAGTGTTGAATTCAACGTCAGTGTCACCCAAGAGCTTGTTGTCCAAACAAAAGAATTGTGCTTTGTGCCAACTGTGCTTCACAGTTACACACATTTCTTTTTTCGAGTTACCTGGTTCGGTCATTTTGAAAAACAATAAATAATACATTTCTATTGACAGATTTACATTTCTGGGTTTGACATTTAGCCCTGATGGCCCACTTCCTGGTCCTGGCTCAGATTAGCTCCTCCTAGATTAGACGTGTAATGCGGCCATATTTTTTGTTGACATTTTTCAGCTCTGGTCACAGTCTGTTTATGCTGCTGCTGCTATTTCTGCTCCTCTATCTCTAGACTCACACTCTGCTCCTCGGACCACTGCCACCTTTCCTGTCTCTCTGTCTGCTGAGACCTGCTGTGAATTTAACATTACCATCGGTCTGACACCGCTGACCAGAACAACACATAACACCACTTATATTTACTGTCTGGGCAACAATATTATTATTTCAATGTCCCAAGTTGACAATATCTGCCACATCGAGAATAAAAAAATATATATTAAGAGATTTTATTTGTAATTTTACAAGAATAAAGTCAAACATCTACATAGGAGATTAAAGTTGTAAATTTAGGAGAATATAGTCATAATATTATCACTTTATTCTCTATGTAACTATAATATTCTGGCGTAGACGTTACAAGAGTAACAATCAGTCTTTTATTCCTGCAAATATTTAATCAGTGTTGAGATTTGTTCAACTTACTTATTCAATCAGACAAACACAAACAGAGAGGAAAAAGTGACCGAGGATGAATCTCCTCCGTTTGTAGCTTCTTCCGCTCTCTCTCTCTCCTGTATTTGATTGGAAAATGAATTACCAGTTGACCTTTTTCACTGCAGACATGGTCGCTGTAAACTGCTTTGAACTCACACATATTCACAGACAAATAAGTAATGAAACTCCTTCCGCATTATCATCAATAGAGTGAAAGAAATGAAAACGCAGTCAAACAAATTCTGAGATTGTTTTCAGTCTGGCTTATTTGCAGGCAGTTTTTAACTTGAGCGCCAAAAAAACTCGGGTTTGAACTTATGGTTGGAAGTTGGAAGTGCAAAAAATATATGAGAGACAGTTTGATATCTTCAGTGAAGTATGGGTGAAGCTCTGGTATGGTCCAGGGCTGCATTTCAGCCAGTTGTGTTGAGGACCAGGACAAATTAATTATTATTTATTATTTCTGTAATTTTATCCATGCAGTGATAAGATACAGTGTTGTGATGACAATATTATCAAATCTGTCTAGAAGCAGTCTGGAGAAGGAGTCAGGTCAGGTAGTAGAGAGAAAGTTTTGGATCTAAGTCTCAGGATTTCACTGGAATGATTCACATTGTGTCACCTTTTCTGACATCAGTCTTTACAGTAATAATTTTATGTAGAAATAAACTACTAACTTATATAAACGCAAAAGTCCACGGTGTGTGTCCACTCCAACCGACTGTACACCAGGTCTCAGTCCAGTTCATTTTCTATTATGACCGTCCGGCTTTTCATCCTCCTGTCAAACATCCTTCTCTGGCCTCTAGTTGACGCAGCGCTGCAGAGGTTGCTGAAATTTGAACAGCAGACACTGACACTGAATGACCTCTGGCTAAAAACTGTGACACACTCAGCAATGACCAAACTATTTCAGTCTGGCCTCCTCAAAATGTTCTCTGCAAGACAAGAAAAAAACAAAACAAATCCCACACCTTGTTCCTGTCGCTCTGTCTCTTTAAGCTGCTCATTTAATTAAAACCGCACAGTTGTACATGTTAGTGTATGATTTCATTTCTATAATAGGTCTGGGAAATCTGCTGCGGGTGACATGATTCACAAATAAAAACAGCACTGAGGCTATTTTTTTCAGCCGAGATGTCAGACTCATTTTGTTCTGTGGATGACGTCCTGCGTTGCCGGTGCTTATTGCACAGAACAGACACATGGGACTGTTGTTAGTGGCTGTTTCAATTTGTCTCCCACATCATTATAAGCAGATTGGAGCTGCAAATGTTCCGCTAAATAACAACAGCCTAGAAGCTGAACAACGTGTACAGTCTGCGGGGTTAAAACATTTTTTATGTGCAGAAAATATTCCAGTTTGAAAACAAATTGTAACTGACATGTTTAGCCTTTTTGATGGTGAGTTTTTAACATTGTGGAGCACGATTTCAGTTTGTTGCTGCAACATTACGTTTTTGTGTCAACAGGAAAAAAGTAACTTTTACCTGACAAAGATGTTTCTTAATTATTAATTGATGTACATTGAGCTTTCAAAACTAATGCCTTCTTGGAGCAATACTAAGTCAGCATTTTTATACTTTTTTTTAAGCATGTCTATAGTCCATACTGTAGGAGCTTTTTTTATTATTATTATTAAAGCCAGCTCCTTATGTCAAGTAGTGGAACTGCAGCCAAAAAGAAGTGCATTTTCTGGGTAGATTTGTCCAAAGGACAGAGCGAGGACAGCCATAGTAGACGTATTCCAGGGTATTATAGCCGTCAGTAGCTAACGACCAGAGCTGTTAGTAATCTAAAAAACTTTCGCTTCCTCTTATTTGAGTTTTGCTCCCACTTTTGTGTTACTGCCACCTATTGAGATATATTTACCACTTCTAAGCTGCAAAAGAAGGTATAAATGACTAGTACGAGCAGAGGGCAGAGTCCCTGCAGATAAACACTCCATACACCATATAAATTGAATTGTAATTTTAAAATGACAATAAATGTATGGGTTAATTATGTCACGTTCTATTGCCAGCTAACTCTGTGTTGAAGGTAAAAGATGAAAAACAAACAAAACCTCAAAATTACAACCTGATTTTTTTTTTCTGTTATCAAAACACCAGGCAGGAAACTGAAAAGTGCGTCTCAGCCTCACAGCAGGACTCCTGTTGTTGTCATTGCCAACAGTTCTGTCTACATGGTGAAATGTGATGCAAGCTTTCCCCCCAGTACATTCCCACACTCCATTACCCAATTTAATTTGCCATTGTCTTTAGCTGCAAGTCTCTTTGATTTATTCTCTCATTCTGCACTATCATGCATCATTACAGATGTTATAATAAACCTCCCAGCATCTCTCTGCCTTTCATTTACTTTCTTATCCACGGCTTGAAAATAACACTGTTTTCATGTTGCGCCGCAGACATTATGTGCAACACTGACTCTGATACTTTGAAGCCAGAAGGGGGGGGAGAGGGGGGGTGCATGGTGGGCTCCAGCTGTTTATTTTGCTGTTTTCCTCTTCCACCCACAACCATTTTAGAAGCTCACTAATGACAGGGAGAAAAGTGAAAAGAACATAATAAAGTCACTAAAGTCCTCATATTTGTACGTACTTCATAGTTCTTCACAAGATACATATTGACGTTTTACGTACTGTAGAGATTTTCTAAAATCTTTTTCTGTCTGTTTTCCAGGTTCAATCATTCCTTTTCAGGGCATTAACCAATCCCAGCAGGCTTTGGGCAACACTTGGTTCCAGCCTGGACAGTTGACCAGTCAATCACAGGTAGAGACAAACATCCATTCACGCTCAACCTCATACCTCTGGTGAAATTGGAAGTGTAAACGTCTCCCCACAGTGCTTGCAAATAACGACACGTGCATCGATGATGTATTATAAATACGGTACATTAAAAATTTTAATCTGATTAATCAAATATATGAACTAACTCAATAAATTAGTTATTTTTGACAGAACTATTAAATTCCCAATCCTCTGAGGGGGAAACCTGAACACATGTGTGGGACATGAACACTCCATACAGAGAGACTGGAGATCTCACTGGTGATTCTGTGATCTACTTGTTGTATGGCAAGCTCGCTGACCACACCTTAGATAAGAAACGATATTAAAATTCATTAAATGAATGTTACATTTGTTAATCTAACACGAATGTTCACGATTAATTTTTTCTAGCATTGTCAGACAAACATGAAAATAGAAAATAAAAAGGTCATCATTACAATCTCACAACCTAGAGGACGCCTTCCTGAGACAAAACAAACGTAGCAGTGATGGGATAAATGCTTCCGGCGCTGTTTAATAGATCTTCCCGTTCAATCTTCCCTCCTTCCTCCTGTCAGACGTCATCCCTGACATTTGTCTCCATCCGTTTCACTCTGCCTCCAGCCTCTTCTTCACCACCGTTCTGCTCCGTCCATTAGTTTTGATGACAGACTCCAGGTACATGAACTCATTCACCTTCAGTACTTTTACCTATCATTCACTGTGCAACTTTTAAATCCAAAAATGTACGTTAGTATGTTGCTCTGTATCAGTACTTTTTCTTCTTCATTTCAGTTGTGACCTGTCATGGCATCATTGTGTGATCATTATTTCAAACTAGGATAACAATAGCTGGGTAATGGCACATCATATACCATATTTTTGAGTCACACTTTTTTCATCCTTTGGCTGGATTTGCGACTTATAATCAGGAGTTATTTTTGATTCAATATATTACAATCTATAATATATTAAAATATATAATTTCACATATTTGTTATTTTAACACTGACAGCCCTTAGAGGGCACTGGTGCGACTTATACTCTGGAGCGACTTATATGTTTGTTTTTTCACACGTAACTGCTGTCGTATTTCAAATATGTTTCCATACATTTCTAATGATAAAATCTATACTCACCATTATGTTGCCAACAGTAAACCTGTTTTTGACACATTATATTTGACCTGAGTTATGAAAACGCCAGTATATGCGCTCTATAAAGATGCTGACTTGGCAGAAGGTTTTAGACTCCAAATCGTAAAAGCTACATTTCTAAACACATGATGCTGTGCACTGCCACAGTCTGCATGGATTAACCTTTCATGTTTCTTCCTCGGGGAGTTGTAAACTTGTGCGTCATTACAACACTTGTGTCAGGACTCTTTCCTCGCTCAGGTTTACAGTAGGAAGGCTCCATACAAGGGCAGCGTGAACTGTCCTTGGATGAAGGAATGACTCGTTTTTTATTCCTCAGTCTTGCTGCTTATTCTAATGCTTCAGGTGATTGATTTGCAGCTGTCAAACAGACAGCTCGTCTCTTTCTCTTGAAGTCGGAGCCCATCACTCTAACATTTGCCGGCAGAGTTCAGATGTTGCTGATTTATTCTGTCTCCCATTGACATGAACTACTGTATGACTTCAGTGCTTGTAAAACACAGCTTGGCATTAAGGATCAGAATCTCTCAGCAACAGCTTCATGAAAATCTTGGAAGGGTTTCATTAGCATCTGCTACAAATGCCTCGCCAACACAGAAACCTGACATTACAAGAAAGGGGAAGTACATGCACTAGTATGATGTACTGTAATAAGGCTGTGCACGTACTAATTTCGAGTACACAGAACCATATGTTGTTGAAAGGTCGTTTATTTTTTTCCCCCGTTTTTTTTTCACACCTTCCTTTCATAATGTCATCACACGGTGCGAACACGACGCAGATACTTCACAGAGGAAGTAGCTGGTAGAAGAAATAAAGAATGCCGATGAATTGGCAACAAAAACAGAAGAACTGAAGAACAGCAGGTCGCCCCCGCTCCCCAGACTCTGCAGCTGGCTTAACTCCTGCATCTTCTTTGCCACAATTTCAAAAGTGGCTCTCACAAATTAGACCCTTGGGGAGAGAGAACAGACCAAACTTCTACCACTCATCGCTAAACACTGGCCAGACGTAAGGAAGGAAGGGGACACTGAATGTGTCTGATGCTTTCAAGCACAGGAATCGGTCACAAGAGGCCAGATGTTCCTCCAGTGTAGGGACCTCTTGTCACTCATAGATAAAGATATTTGAATTGCACTGACGCTGAAAAGCACATTGAGAGCCATTTGTTTTACATCAGTTTTAAATCATCAAAAGCCCAAATATAAAAGAAATAATAATAAATTATTGATGAAAAAATTAAAATTTCTGTAATAATTAACACAGCTCGGTGAACAGAAAGTAAGCAGAGCTTTTAAATAAATATTGAATTTATTATAACCCCACTGTCTCCTCACAACCTTTCCAATTCAAGATGGACTGAAACATTTCCTCCCACCTCATATTTTACTGTGGGAACACTGTTTCTCCTTCACTTCCACAAAACTAAGCAGCACCTGTTAGAAGTTTTTTTGACCCTCGCCTTTTTCGTCTTTTCTGACCAAGTGATATACAGTGTTTCTAGTGTTTGTTAAATTTCTCCAAAATATCTGGGAAATTATTTAAGGATAAATAATGAACGTATGTTTAAACATGTTATAAAATGCTTTGCAGCTGTGTAAACAAACTGATTTCTTCACGTTGCAGTAATTAGCAACAATTCCCCCCCCCCCCCCCCACACACACATACACATACACACTCAATAGAGAAAAACCAAAAGGTGACAACGAAACAGACAGGGAGAGTGAGAGAGACAGAGACAATGAGAGAAAACAGAGTCTCACCGTGGGAGGAGCTTGGCAGCTTCCTGGGCCTGTGTCGATCACAGGTGTTGTGTACAGGATGTTGATGGAGTGAGGATGGCCACACATCGCTGCAGTGCTGGCAGCACACACTGGCAGATGTGTTGTCTGTGGGGAGATGCATCGTCAGGCATGAGTTTTCACATGTGGAGGGAACTGGGCCGGGAGACAAACCTTCATTCAGTCAGGACTCTGCTTGTGATATTTATCATGATGAAATCCAGAGTAGTGAAGTGAGGATCCACAGAATAACCTCGACCACAGAGTGTGACCGTGTGTTACTGTGAAAGATGATGGGGTGTTTTGGTTTTTTTTAAACCATTTCTTCACAGTAATTGTAAACCGTGTAAAAGAAATGGATGTGGCTGTCCAGTTCTACACAACAGAAATTAAAAGAAAAAAAAAAGAATGTGAAACATCTTTTTTAATAAAACAAATTCACTTTTATTTTGTTTCAGATAAGAGGAAAGGTTGTTCAAAGATTTCTTGTAAAGTAGCAAAAAAAAAGTCAAGATTCTGAATTTGAGATCTGAATTCTGATCTAAAACTGATGTCAATCTGAGTATTTTTTTTATTTAATTCGTCATATTTTCACTTTATTTTAAGAATAATAGGAAAAGTTATTATTCTATTATTTATAGTTATTCAGTGAAGGCATTATTTAAACACTGCCTTTTAGTCAGGCTAAACTGGCACGACGCACTTAAAACTGTGTATTTGTTAAATATCTGCAATGAATGCTATATAAATATATATATAAATCATGTACTTTATTAAAGATAGAATTGGCATTGGCTGTGTGAACAATTGAACAATAGCATATTTTTGTTTTTAAATGTCAATGTTGATCATGTGTATTAATTTCTACAGACTCGTAATAGGATTATTTTTTAATATTCCCAGGCATTTCTCAAGCCAGAGCTGCAGAGCACAGCCTTTCCTGTTACCTGCCCTCGCAATCAGCACGGACAAGGTATGACCAGAGCCATTAGCTCTTCCTCGTATCTTCATTTGTGTTCATTTTGTCGCCCCCATTGATGGTTGTCCCTCTAGAAAATTCTCTGGACCTTTTCCTGTATCCCAGAATTGGTACTTTAATTTACTCACTCAAAAAGCCACAAAAATAATAAATAATGTCTCTCTCAATGTCAGCTGTATAAACATTTGTTGGAGGGGGAGAGGGGGGTGTCCTCATAGTACCTCAGATAGTGAACCAATACTGAGGCTGAACCTCACACTAGGACCTTACAGATACTGTAAGAACACGAGCAGCAGCAGCCATTAGCTTACAGCAGATGTAAAGGCAATAAAGGACCAAATGGTTCCCACAGGGGGCGGGGGCAGTAGAGTATTGTGTAATATGCTTTTAACACAACACACAGTCAATTAATTTTTAATGCTTGGCAAAAAAGAGAGAGAGAGAAAGTGAAAGGAGGGCAGATACATAGAGTGAGAGAGAGAGTGAGAGAGAGATCGAAACGAATACAGTGAATTATTTGCTCTGTGTCATCATTGAGGTCTAGAATGGGGCATACATCATTAACACTGATTTTTGGGTGAATGGCTCTGGGAAAAGGAGAGAGTGAAAAGATGGAGGCAGAGAGGAGAACTGTAAGTAAGAGAGTGAAGAGGAGGAAAGGGAGGAGGAGTAGGAGGTGGAGAGTTTGCATGACTGAGTGAGCAGGAATAACTATGAGCCCTGTCAACACCAGGCTGAGGAACCCGGGGGGGAAACAGTGTCTCAGAGTCTCAGTGTTCACAACGCAAAGACGTGTATGTGTGACTGCACAGCAGAAATAGAGTGGATCATAAATGAGACTATGACTATATAACACTGACCTTATTTCAGTGTTTACATTCAAACACTGCAAATGCAAACTTATATCACTGACTGTGAGGCACAGTAGGCTGGAGTTTAAGGTGCTGTGCTGTTTATTTTACTCCTCTGGAAAGTTTCACATACTCAGTGCAAAATAATTAAATTTAGATTTATTACCTCAGCAGCCAGCTCTTTCCATGAAATTATTTTCCAGGACATTTTCAGCTATTATTATATATTATATATAATATAATAATAATTGTTTTTTCTGAATTTTAACCACAAAA